CTTTGCTAAAAATATTGTTGAAAATTATGTCATAACCACCTAGTCTTACTTTTCTCTAAATTAGAGATGGATATGATGAGGTGAAATTATTCAGTGTAATTATCAATAGGAAATCGTTTGTTTACTAATTGTTCATAGTTCATTTTAAATTAAATTTATCAATTCACACGACAAAAAAATAGCTAATTACCGACGGAATTAGTGACGGGATAATTTCCGTCACTAATTTCTGACAGATTACCCACGAAAATTCTGTCGCTAAACTTAGCCACGGAATTAGCGACGGAATTTAATCTGTCGCCAATTAACCACGGAATTAGCCACGAAATTTTTTCCGTCAGAAAATTCCGTGGCTAATTTCGTGGCTAAAGTTTTATAATTATGATTTGCGACGGAATACTTTTTCGTGGCTAATTTAGCCATGGAATTAGCCACGGAAAATTATTCCGTCGCTAATTTCCGTGGCTAATATATAATATAATATAATATAATAAATATATAATTAAATTATATATCTTATAAATATTAAATAAAAGAATTAAATTTAAAAAATATATTTATGAAAAAATTATTTACTATTTAAAATTAAAAATTAATGTCATTGGAAATTAATATTATATTTAAAATAATTTTTTTGAAAATAAAGCATTATAAAATAAATATTAAAACAAATATCTAAAAATTATTTTGTTACAAAAATAGTTATGATTAAAATTATCATATAGTTTATTTTTAGTTTCTATTAATATATGTGTGTATAAACAATTATTTGTGTAAGAGAATATTTTATATATATATATATTTAATTTTGCATAATAAGTCAGTAAGTTCATTGCAGCTCACTGGTGAAGTCGCACGCATGCATGAGCAAGGTCCTTGGTTTGAGCCGTGGAGAAGTCACTTTGAAGAAGAATTATATGGTGGCAACATGTGGCAATACAAGGTGGCACTAACACGTGACGGAGGAGGTGAGGTGGTAGCGACACGTGAAGATGAGGTGGTGACAAGTGGTGGCCAAAGTGAGGTGGCATTTTAATTTTTTTAAAAAATATATTAGCCACGGAATTTCAATTCCGTCAGTAATTAGCGACGGAATTGAAATTCCGTCGCTAATTACTGACAGAATAGGAATTCTGTTGGTAATTAGAGACGGAAAAATTCCATCAGTAATTACCGAAGGAATTGATTCCGTCAATAATTCTGTCGGTAATTACCAACGGAGTTAATTCCGTCGCTAATTTTGTCGGTAATTTCAATTAGTGACGAAAAAATTAGCGACGGAATCAATTCCGTCACTAATTCCGTCGCTAAATAAAAATTCTGTTGGTAAATTCCGTCGCTAATCAGATATTTTTTGGTAGTGTCAAATTTATAACTAATTAATTTAAATTAATATTTTGAATAAGTTATTGTATATATCTTAATTTTAAAATAAATTATATTAATATTTACTTTAAATTCAAACTTAACAAGTTTCAAAAAGATAAATCCCACCACCAATTAAAAGAAATACATTATAAGAAAGAGAAAAAAGTAAAATAACATAAGGCAAAACAATAAGAACAGATATAGAGGAAACAACAACATATATAAATGCATATACTGAAAAAAAAATTTGATAAGAGAATTCTGAATTTTTGTATAATAAATAAAGTGTTGCAGTTGGATGGTCTTATATTGCTACTATTTTAAATGTCATAAAAAAAATGAACCTCTCACATAAAACAAAAGTTTTGTAATGGTACGGAAATGAATGCGGAAATACTAAATTATTTCCTAGCAAATTCAAATAAAGATGGGCCACGCCTATCGCTCTTGTTTATTATACATGTCCAATATAGAAGTAACTATTTATTTATATTAAATATACAAATGCATGTAAGAAAATTTTTTAAAAAAATCATTTTATAAAAATCATCTTTTACTAAAGTCCCTTAAATTTTCTAGGCCTTATTTGGATGAGCAGTGTGATTGAAATGACTTTTAATCTAAAAACTGTGTCAACATGAAAAATGTCATAATAAGTTATTTTGAGCTGCTTGAAAAAAACAAAACTTTTTTTTTTTAATGTGAAGAGAAGGGAAAAATGGACTACAAAGGAAGAAAGAGAACTTTATGAGTCTCACTTACTTTCATATAATAAAAGATGATAAAATCACTCTGTCAAATAACTTGATACATGCAAGAGTATTCTAAAGAGAAAAACAACCAATAAATAAGTGGATGGTATACTTTTAAATTTTACTAAGCTTGGTTTTCAATGTTTGTTGCTTATATAATAATAAGTAAGTTAAATCTTTTTCTTTTTTACAATCAATAAGTTAAATCTATTTGAAAGTAGGAGATTAATTTCATTTTCTAGTTAATAGGGAAGCCGTATGTTTTAGTAATTCATACATGGATACTATAAGAAATAAGTTGGCAGGTTGGGCAATGTGAAGGCAAGATGGTACTTCCTCTGGTCCTAATTATAAGAACCAGTTGACTAATTTGAGGAGATTAAGAAAAAAAAGTTAAATTAGTTATTTGTAATAAATAGGTATTGTCTTTCTTAAAATATCCTTACTAATCAAGTGTGTTGGATAAAATTACAATTATCAAAAGAATTATCTTGGAAACAATTACACAAATATAAGAGACAAAGTGAATTAAGATCTTATATTTATGACCAAAATAAAAGTCAAATAAAGTCTTATATTAAGGATCGGAGGTAGTATTTAGTTATAATTATATACAGTTTTAGATTTTACTTTTAATCTAATGAACGATTAACTGATATACTGAATATTAAAACTAAATGATGCAATGATTTCAATTCCATAAGAGTTAAAAAAAATTAATTATTTTTATTACAAAATAAAATTGTGCAACCGTAATTATTACTATTTAAAGGATACAGATGTATATTTGAAAATTGAAACTTCAAAATAAAATATGGTCAGAATCCCAACTGAGGATTGTAATATTTAATTTTAGGATTTTATAGTTAATTATAAATCATTCCATTAAGATATTGAGATGGTATGGTTTCGGACTAAATTATAACCAATTATTTGATAAAAAATTAAATATATAAAATTTAGTTTATAAAAGTAACCATATTTTATATTTTATTTTAATGTTATCAGTTTTTTCGTCTGAAAAGGAGAGATAGGAGCACAAGCTCTAAATTAATCTGAGTCAGGACATTAATGCTAACAAACTATGAAGTATGCTCTAAAAAAATTCAAATAAATCTCATGAATAATGTGATTTTTAATATTTTAAAATTTCTAGATAATATCCAAACAGAATTATTTAAACTATGGATATTTTAATTTTTTAAAAGAAATTAAAAAATAAAATGAAAATACATTGCAATTTAAAACCAAAATTTATCAAACTTTAATAATAATATAATTGAAATTAATTATAATTTGGTTAAATATATTAAATAGTTTTGTTTATTGCTTAAATAAAGGACCACCGTTAATATCCTTTTTGAAGTAAAATATTATAAATACATACTAAATCCCTAGTAAAATTTATTTTAATTCATCACAGTATGTTTATTCGAATGAGAAGACTTAGTTATTAATATGAGATGTGACATTGCTTTTCGCTCACCAACGTTAAAAGGTTCATAATAATACCATTTGTTATTAATGTAGATGATCACTTGTAGCAAATTTGGAATGACACTTGTATCATTTAAAGCAATTTTTTAAACATTCAAAGTTATATACAAAAGGCGGGCCACCAAGCCGACAAATCAGATATTAGTTAGACAGTTTTAGACTTTTATCTCGAAAATAAATGAGTATAATTTGAATTCATAGTTACTATTAGTATTTTATGTTTCATCAATAAATCAACCAATTGTATGGTTTAGCTACATCGCTTCCTTTTTAATACAAAATTATGAAAATTAAAATTAAAATTTATTTTGTATATTAAATTGATCATATTTTTTATTGGACTTATTAAACAGTAGGTCCTCAAGCTAAGGAGCAATCCTATTTGAATAAAAAATAAATTATCTAAGTTAGGTTTTAACTGAGTATATATAACTATTTTTAACTGTATAATTTGAACTAAGTAAACCTACTCAAATATCTCAATTGATTTAATACGAAATATTACAAAATAATGAGATAATAAAAATGAGTTTGAAATATAAATCAACTTTCTTCCAACCGTAAAATTCTAAATTTTCATTTTCTTCTATTCAATAGTCCAACCCTCATCACAGAATCGGACTATCTAAGGTTTTTCATCTTGTGGTTTTGGCTTACATAAGCGGCCTAATCCTCACAGGTATGTTTCTTATCGCCAAACTCAATATTTGCATTTCATACTCATTTTAGAGCATCCCATTTCACAGTCTTTCACCTTTTTGGTAAATTTCGTTTAGCATTTTTGTCTTAATAAAGACCCCATTTCATACTCTTAATTCCATTTTACTACCCTAAAATTTACTAAGCCATGCATGTTTCAAATAAGTCTAAAAATTACATTCCGAAAAGAGATTTCTCTATATGAATTGCTTCCAAGGATTTAGGGACCAATCTTTTTTTTCTGTGTGGTTAGAAAGTAGCCAATCTTAATTGAGTCAATTTTGCCTAGTTTTCTATACATACGGGGAAGGATATTCATTTCTGAACACAGATAACTTTTTTTCTTGAACTAAAATTCAACTAGTGGCAAATAAAAATTGTCGCGTATTTTGAGGATTACAATCCATTCAATTTGTTGAGATAAGGTTATTAATATTCTTTGAAAACAATCCAACGAATATAGCCGGCGATAATTTAGTTACAAGAGGATGGTTTCTGGTTAAATAGATCTTTTACTATTTATGATCCAAAAATTTGCTGAAAAAGAATGAATATCCTTTTATTAGATTATTATCCATTTCATATAAATACTAACATCCATTAATTTTTCTGCATGCAGGCATAATCCTCAGATCAGTGACTTTCTGAAAGGCAGAGAAGAAATTAAAGAAAAAAAATTTCAGGATGTATTTGAAGTTAAGCATTACAACATGTTCCATCTTCATGTTATTGGCTTCATCTGTTTCTGCTATACCGAAGATGTTTGATATAATAGCATATGGTGGAGTCCCCAATGAAGATATAACCCAAGTAAGGCCATATATATGTACATATGCATGAATTTTGCAGAACCAGAATATAACTTCCATTGTTATATAGCTAGCTTTAATTTTCTAATTCCTTTTTCTTTGGGACATGAAGGCTTTTACAAATGCTTGGTATGATGCATGCGCATGCAATGTTAGCAGCAAAGTAATGGTTCCAAGAGGGACGTTTAAGATGCCGAATACTGTGACTTTCAGTGGACCATGCAAAGCTCCGATTGAAGTAAAAGTTGATGGAACAATCCAAGGAATAATAAATCCTAGTACCCTCAAACAGGAAGGAAGTTGGGTTAACTTTGAATACATCAACTTCTTCACCTTATCAGGCTCTGGAATCTTTGATGGTCTAGGAGTTAGTAATCCTTGGAAGCAAGATGATTGTAACAAATTGGGTCTGAGGACTTGCAAACCCTACGTACGTAATTCACATTTTTTTTCCTCGATTCTCAATTTCATTATGTACAATTAGTATCATCAAAGGCTTGAAATGAATTTTGTGTTGTCATATTTGATTTTTACATAACACACTAATGGTTTTTCTTGGATAATATATATGTCAACAGAATATCGCATTCAATTTTTTGAACAACTCAGTTATTCGAGGGATAACTACAAAGGATAGTAGAGGCTTTCACATCAATATATTGCAAGGTATTAATGTAACAGTTGATGCCTTCACAGTGAGTGCACCAGGAGAAAGTGTCAACACTGATGGACTTCACATCTCAAAATCCACCAATGTCAATGTTATAAACTCTAGAATTGGTACGGGAGATGATTGTGTCTCACTGGGTGATGGAAACACACAAATAACCGTGCAAAATGTGAATTGTGGACCTGGTCATGGCTTTAGTGTTGGAAGCCTTGGAGGGAAGAAAAATGAACAGCCTGTAACTGGCTTCACTGTCAGGAATTGCACAATTAACAGCACATCCAATGGTCTTAGGGTTAAGACTTGGGCTGATGCACCAGGAAATATTTCAATCTCCAATCTACTTTTTGAGGACATCACAATGATTAATGTAAAGACTCCAATTCTCATTGATCAAGAGTATTGTCCATCAAAGAAATGTGGCAACAAGGTCTTACTCAACTCTTTTTTCTTGTATATTGAGATTCATTTTTTGAGTTTAATATAGCTAACAAGTTTTATGTTTGCTTTGATTGTTTTACGTAGGAGCCATCAAAGATACAAATAAGCGATGTGACATTCAGGAATATTAAAGGCACTGCAACATTGAACTATGGGCATTCAATTGTTTTGAATTGTAGTAAAGAGAAGCCATGCAAAAATGTGCGGTTCGACAACGTTGATATTAAATATAACAATGGATCTATGCCATTAGCAACATGTGTTAATGTTGACCCTATCGAAGTTGGACTGATGTCTCCTTCTTGCAAACCTTAGCACTCGAGAATTACGGCCTCTCTCTCTCTTGAAGGCCTATCATCTTTCTTTTTCTTTCAAGAAGCAGTGTAGGAGTAGCACTAGAACATTCTGTGCATCCCCAAAACCTAGTGGGGTGATGAGTCTTTGTACTCACTTAAGAATATGTATTTGAAATAATAAACTTTTGCGTTATGTTGTAAATGTTCTAATTTTCCTACAATGATAATGCAAGTTCGTACAGAAACTGTTGTCTCTCATTATCTATTAATTATTTGTTGGGATTAGTTTTTCTTTTCTGGAAATTTGCACTTCTCCTTTGCTTGATGTAAATGTATGGGGCTTTTGATAAAAGTAAAACAATATGATGGAAGTAACGTAACTAAAAGAATAATATTGGAGAAAGCAGCCTAAATTATTTTCCATGCTAATCTTTTCTTTGTGATCATTTGATTTTTTTTTTTTTGGTTTATGATAGAGTATCGTTATCACAAAACTATGAATTTACAATGCAACGGGGAAAAAAAAAAAAAACTATGTAGTTACAGTAGTATGCACATATTTTTTACCGCTAAAAAATGTTATATATTTACAAAACAAATCATATCATATCATGTATAAATATCAGATAATGTTCACAAACTCGTTGTCAGCAGGATATGAGCTAAACCTTTGTTTTTCTGGAACGAATGAAGATACTTTTTGTCCAAAAAATGTTTGATTCATGCCAAAATAATTTTTTAAATTCGTGATAATTGATAGCAAGTTTTGACATTGAAAAGTTAGTTATTCATAAGTAATTTACTTATGATAGAAAAATAAGTAATTTAAATAAAAATTTGATGCAAATAAAATTTTATTAATTTATTTTCTCCCCATATTTAGATTACATTATCAACTTATTCAATTAAATAATTAAATAATTATTTGATAATTAATTACTCACACCTCATTTCAATTTGAATTTAACGAATTGATGCCAAACCAATTTAAATTATAATTTTTAAATTTTTTATTGAGATTTGACTAAATTCCTAAATTTTTTTAGTTAGTTAGAGATTCTTCAGATCTCTAATTAAATAGTTAAAATATTTCGAATAATGTATCTCCCCCCTTTTCGTGCAGTGAAAATTATGTGACCACGAACTTAAAAAACTATTTTTAATTTTCATTATCCAAAATATTGCCAATTAATATTACTAATCGTTTGAAATAACTAATTTTCATTTACATTTCTGATTAATTTTGATTAATATTGTTATAGCTACTTGCTTATTAATAAAATATCGTTGAAAATTTTGTCATAGTGACCTAATATTACTTTCCTCTGGATTAGATAGCAAAATTATTCAGTCTAATAGTTAATAGAAAAAAATTTTAATTTATTAATCTTTCATAGTTTAATTTAAATTAAATTTATCAATTCAAATTCACATTTTTAGTAAGAATTTGTCTAGATCTTAATTTTAAAATGAACTTCATTGATATTTACTTTAAATTTAAACTTAAGAGTTTCAAAATCTTGATTGGGATTTGACTGAATCTCTGGTAATTTTAATTAGTTAGAGATTTCGTTGATTCAAAGCAAGGTTATTAAACATTTAAAAAGTAAAATACAAAGACAAATCGGGCTACAAAACGAACAAAATACACTTTAAAAAAAAAACAACATAGAATAAGGGGCCAAAAAAATCAGAAATAGAGCTCTAGGCCTCTGTGCGTATATATGAAAAAATTATTTTTAAACTACAAAATTCTGAATTCTTATCTAAGAAATATTGTGGTTGGGGTTGGACTTGGATTCATCTTTATTACTACTATTTTAAGCTTCATCAAGAAATCAATGAAACTCGTGAAAGCAATAGGCTTTTCTGGTTGGATAAGAATGAATGTAGAAGTACTGAATTGTTTTTTCCCCCCTTTAACTCTCATATATTTTTTAATGGAGATAGCAATAACCTTTAGATGTCTACATATCAATCAAACCCCTTTCTCTTTTTTTCCTCCAATTTTAATGTAAGAACAAATGTTAGTGAAAAGTAAGGGTGTTCAATTGTGTCCCGTCCCAGTATTCCGTCCTTATCCTAATTATTTTGGGACGGGATAGGACGAAAGTAGGACGGGACAAAATTGTTTTAGGACGGGACGAAATGCGGGACAAGGGTGTCCCATTCCAATATATTATTTTTATTTTTAATTGTTATATATTTATTTTATTTATCATTGTAATAGTATTTTGGTAATGATATTTATCAATTGTTATTTTTTAATTGTTTATAAGTTGTTTTTGTATGGATTACATGATATTCTTTGGAATGAATATTTTAGGTTTGTTTATTTTTTGTCTCTCATGATTATAAAAAACATTTTTCTTTGTCATTGTTTCATCATTTTTATATATTTTCCTCACATAGTTTTTATTATAACTTTTTACATTTCCCATATTTTTAGTTTTCAAATATAAAAATTTTTTTAAAAAAAGAGATGAGACGTCCCTGTTCCATTCCAGTTATGTCCTGTCCCAATTATCGGGACGGGACTGGGACGGAGTTGTCTCTGTCCCGTCCCATAAATATCCCTAGTAAAAAGAGAAAAACTCATTGAGGAAGATAGAGAGGATGACACTTTTTTTTTTTGGCTACGTAGAGAGATATGACACTTAAAGTACTCCATATAGGGCTTAATTTTAGTTAAGTCCACCAAATCAAAGAAATACTATTTAATCTTAAAAGGCTTCAATAAAATTAAGAATTAAAATAAGTTTAGGAAAATATCCTCTTACATATATATAAATTCTTCTTCGCCCTATCGTGATCGCTGCCGCGAGTAAGGCAAAAGCTTATTTCTACTGGCTCTTATCATCTCACAAGCCCCCCAAAATTTAGTTTACAAGCCCAAAAGCTAACTTGAGCCCAAAAATTATATTTGGGGGTGTTTGGTTAAGCAAAAAACAACTTTTAAAAAAAACTGGGAAAATGACGCACAGATCTCAAGGAGTAGACTTTATTCATTGAAGGTCGCACAAAATGTCAAAATTAGTAGCATGTCCCAAGGGACTTTAGAGTATTATATTCTAATTATAAAATAACATTACTACCACTCAGATTCCCAATTCACGTTTTATCTGCTATTGTGATTGACAATCTCAGTGGTGACTCTTAACAACCCAATGAGAAGTTCTGTTGACAACCTAAGCAGTATCTATTAACAACTTACTTTATACAACCACATAACCTCCACATAAGAGTAAATTATAACCAAATAGTATAATATAACAATTTTAACACTGAAATGGAAAGCTTTTCAAAAGCATTGAGTACTTTAACTAAACCCAATAGAATTATAGCATAATTTTCATTCAAAGATCTATTGACAACCTCAACAGTGAGTATTAACAACCCAAGGGGAGCTGTTGACAACCTAGATAGCGTCTGTTAACAATTAACTTTATAGGATAATATAATCTCTGCATAAGATCAATTTATAACTAAATAGTATAACATAACAATTACATAAGATCAACTTTAATACTAAAGTCTAACAATGATAACTAAATTACAACTAAATAATGTTAAAATTGATCTATGAAATCTAACAACTATAACTAAATTATAACTAAATAGTGTTATAGTTGTTATGTTATACTATTTAATTATAATTTGATTTGATGTAGAGGTTATATTATCCTATAAAGTTAATTGCTAACAAACACTGCCTAGGTTATCAACAGTTCCCCTTAGGATGTTAATACTCACTATTGAGGTTATCAATAAATTTCCGTATTAAAATTCTACTCTAATCCTATTAGGTTTAGTTGAAGTTCTTAATACCTCCGAAAAGTTTCCCATTTTAGTATCCAAGTTGTTGTATTATCCTATTTGGTTATAATTTACTCTTATACGAAGGTTATGTGATCCTATAAAGTAAGTTGTCAGTAGATACTACTTAGGTTATCAACAACTTCTTATTGGGTTGTTAATAGTCGTCATTGAGGTTGTCAATTGCAATGGTAGAGAAAATGTGAATCGAGAATCTAAGGGGTAGTGATATCATTTTACAATTAGAATACAATACTCTAAGATTCCTTGGAACCTACTAGTAATTTTGACATTTTGTGAGACTTAATAAAGTCTACTCCTTGGAACCTGTGCGTCATTTTTTCAAAAAAGCATTTTCACATAAATCGAGATAAAACTCTTTTAACATATTTACTGTGTATTCTGTAAAATAACTTTTAAAATCATAGTTTGATTTTCATTCAAATACCTCTTTAGATTGACATTGGAGTTGGGTTTTATGAAATGTGCTAACCCCTCAAAATGTGGTAAATTAAAATTCGAGTCTCAGTGGGAAGAGATGTTCATAGTTAGTGTCCAACAATATCTTAAATATGATTGCATTTAATAAAAAAATACCTATGCGTAGCCAAATTTTTTTGTTGTTGTTGTTAAAAGTCAAATTATACTTAAAGTAAGTTCTGGAGTTACAAAAGTCACAAAAGTCAAATAAGTATTCAAATTGATCTTTTTATAAAAATATATTTAAATGAAAATCATATTTTACTAATTTACTTTTATCTTAATTTTAGTTTGCACAATGCAGTTGGGATAAAAGTTCAATGATAGTTAAAATTGGGCTTAAATCCAATATTTCTTGGTTTCCCAAAATTTTGTTGTAGTTATTAAGCAATCAACAAACTTTAGTAATCAATACAAAATATTGTTCACCAAAAAACAAAATAACAATTTAGTCTTATATAAATGATAACTGTGTTTTCTAAATTTATAACTCCTAAAGAGTATGTCATAAGCATCAAAATAACTGGTGGCCTTTTGAAAATTGATAACTTCTATTTTGAAAAAAGCCAAGGAGTCCCAAAAAAAATTAACAATTAGGCCGTTTAAATAAACGAGAACTAAGTTATTGTCCAAAAAAATGAGAACTAGTTGTTGTCAATTACATAAAAAAGTTATTATTTATATTACCATTGATATAAATAAAAACTCGATTTTACATAATTAACAAGTAAGCAAGCTTAGTTAATTTTAGAAGTTTCTGAAGACAAAAGTTTTCAATATCAACAGCGATGAACCAAATGAAGGGAATTGAAAGACGCGTAACGAAATAAACTTTAAAATTTCAATCCCTTGCCTGGATCTACCGATCGTGTTTAAGTCAAGTAGTAAGAAGCATTACCTTTGATGTTCAATTTCTTGGTGGCTCGGTGATTCCGCTATTCAGGATGCCTCTGCTCGCCTCCTTTGTCGTTCGAAGTCAACAACTCCGGTCGGCTTCCTCTACCGGTATCCACACGAATAGCTCTCCAGTCACGAACGGCGTGCTAGCGCCTCTTTGTCCGTCTAGGGTTTTTTTCAAAAAGAATTGTCCTCCTCTCTCTATCTTTGGCCGTCTCTTATTTGCAAGCTTTCGCCCTCTCACTCACTGAAACCCTAGCTCCCTAATATCAAATATATAGGATGCTATAGGTATTATGAATGATGTTTAATTTCGAAATTAATCCTAAATTAATTCCGAAATTAATACAATATCAAATATTGCACAATCAGATAAGAGAACAATTAAATAAATACGGTTTATATTAAATCCGTCTTACAGATTTAATTCACCTATTTATTTAATTCAAAATAAAGATATGACGGAATTAATTTACATAGATCTAATTTATCCTTATAAATTAAATCTAACAATTAATATCTCTTATATTTATATAATATATATATACGAATTTATATATATATACACGTCCACCTTATATTATTCATTGAATCTGGACATATCTTAGATTCAATGAATCTGGACATCATAACTCGTGTTGGGTTATTTTGTGTGTGACTCTGTAGGCCCATATGAAGTTGGCAGTGGGCCATTAACTATAATGACTCACAAGTCGTAAGCGGTCTTTAGCAAGACATCACGACTACCCAAAACATATGAGGATCATTGAACGATGCAACCTTTCATACAACCATATCACGTCCCTTTTGTCACACGACATTTTGGTCATGGATGAGGCATAAAGAACGTCATCCTCCTATTCATGACCGTTACTTTCTCGATCCCTGAGTAGTCTGAATATAGAAATGGAACTACCTTTCCATTATAGTATGGCCATACATTTCTCAGACTCACTCATCGAGGGCCCCAGTAATATCTCTCTACGAATGTGAGGGACAAATTCTATCTTGACCACTCACATTCCTCCGCATGAAAAACCACTAAGCTTGAACATAGTCTTTATGATCACTCGGTCAAAAGTGACTTTTGACTAGGTCAAAGCTGAGCTTTTCTTATGTAGGAATCCATGATGATCTCAGGTCAAAGGGCACAGTGACATGGTTTCTATATGAGAGAAGCTTATGACTTAACCCATGCAGCTCTCTCATAGCGGGTCGGTCCAACACCTTGTACTCTTACATGTGCCTATGACTTTAATTTATATCTCTATAAATCTTTAAAGTCATATTGGTCTTATTTCATCTCTGCTCCCACATAGATGACTGACTAGGGACATTTAGGATAAATCATGAGTTATCCAAGGATAGTCATCACAGTAAACATGCAAATAATATGATAACGTAATCAATAAATTCATAAATCAACAATGTTCATAACATAATGATTGGCCCCTAGGGTACAATTTCCAACACCAAATGCTTTATGATTGTTCATAACAACTTAGTTTTATATAAAATCTCTATCCTCAATAAATCTTAATGCCTGAGTGGCTATGAACAGAGGAGTGAAGGTTAAATTTGAAAAATATAAGAGAGCTTGCTTTGAAATGACCAAAAAAAAAATTATAGGGAAATGAAATAAAGAGTATAAATTAGGGTTAAGAGATAATTTTTATCCTGAAAGTATTCCTCTACAAGTAATTGCTATCTAGAAGTTTTCTTTGACTTAATATTATGAAAGTAGTGACAAAGGTGCAATGCGTTGAAAATGCAACAAAAAATGCCACAAAATTCGTTAAAAATAGGGTCAAAATAAATTTTTCCTATCCAGGTGACTTGAATCCCTAAAACTTATCGGGACCAATGTATACCTCTAAACTCAAAAAATATTTATAGAGGTATTTATAGATTCTCATCAACGAAGTCATCACATTAACAGTAGGATTCAAACTTATAACTTTGTAGATTATGAGCATATTCCTTACCATAACAATTGTTTCTACACAAATCGATAAAATTAACCTTTAAACCTAAATTATTTGAGTCATTTGAAAACTAATATTCGAAAATATGATATATAAACTATTCATACAAAACTATTAATTAATTAACTAAAATATTTCAAACTATAAATTTTTTTACACATAATTTTTTTCCTTTTTTTTTTTTTTGGGTACAGTTTCTTTTTCCTTTTACATTAAAAGCTTGGCTCCATTGGTCCTTGGATCCTTATTAGGCTGCGTGAACTTGTTTCCATCCTGGCCCATGTTCACGGCGAATTGCTTGATAGTGGCCACAAGGCGCCAATGGTAGCTAACGGCCCAACATTAAGCAGGATTCATTTTCGCGAGGACACCTCTGATCGGCGTTGGTGGAAAGTTGATTTGCCGCCGTGCTTCCATGCCTTTGAAAATGAAGATTTGATTCACACAGATTGAATCCTCCCTCCCCTTTATCTTCATCTCCCCACATCCTCACCGCTGTCCAATGCCGCAAGATGAAAATTTTGACAGCCATTGTCATCCCCAGTGAGTTCTTGCTTAATCGCCTATGCAAGCATTTATCTTCCTCAGCCTCTCTTCCCCAACCTCTTACTGTAGACCCAGAACCATCGGATCTCTCATTTCATCTCTTCTCAATACTATCGCGCCCTAATTGGCAAAATCACCCCGTTCTCAAGAATTTACTTCCTTCTGTAACCCCTTCTCATGTTTCTAGAATTCTCAATCTCGATCTCAACCCCCAAACTGCCTTAGCTTTCTTCAATTGGATTGCCCGTAGGCGAGGATACAAGCACAATGTTCATTCCTATGCTTCTATGCTCAATATTTTAGTACGTAATAAGCTTCTACGAGTTGCTGATAATGTTCGAATATCGATGATTAAATCTTCTGATACCGTTGAGGATGTGAGGTTTGTACGGGACCTATTGCTGAAATTGAATTTAGATAGCGAGGGAGAATTCACATTCAAGCTCACTCTTAAGTGTTATAATATGCTTCTGATGTCTTTGTCAAGGTTTCTTCTTATTGATGAAATGAAGAGCCTGTACCTAGGAATGTTAAACGATATGATGTCGCCAAATATATATACATTAAATACAATGGTAAATGGTTATTGTAAGTTGGGGAATTTGGTTGAGGCAGATTTATATGTAAGAAAGATACTGGAATCTGGTCTCTCTCCAGATACATTTACATACACTTCTTTGATATTGGGTCATTGCAGAAATAAAGATGTAGAGGCTGCTTCTAACATATTCGAGCTTATGCCACATAAGGGCTGCCAAAGGAATGAGGTTTCCTATACTAATCTCATACACGGGTTTTGTGAGGTGGGGAAGATCGATGAGGCTCTCAAGTTGTTCTCTCAAATGGGTGAGGATAATTGCTCTCCCACTGTTCGCACTTATACAGTTCTTATATGTGCGTTGTGTCGGTTGGGCAGGAAAGCGGAGGCTTTTCTACTTTTTAATGAAATGAGTGAAAGAGGTTGTCAGCCTAATGTTCATACATACACTGTACTTATTGACTCTTTCTGTAAGGAAAGGAATCTTGATGACGCCAGGAAATTGTTTGATGAAATGTTGAAGAAAGGTTTGGTTCCCGGTGTGGTCACATATAATGCTTTAATTGATGGGTATAGCAAAGAGGGTATGATTGAGGCTGCATTAGAAATTTTATGTATGATGGAATCAAAGAAGTGTACCCCTGATGCTCGGACATACAATGAATTGATCTGTGGATTTTGTAAAGCTAAAGGCCTGCACCGGGCAATGTCACTATTTGACAGAATGCGTGAGCGCAAACTATCTCCAACAATTGTTACGTATAACTCACTCATTCATGGGCAGTGCAGAGTAGGTCAGTTAGATAATGCTTATAGGTTGCTTAATTTGATGGAGGAAAATGGTTTAGTTCCTGATGAGTGGACTTACAGTATCTTCATAGATGTGATGTGCAAAGTAGGGAGAGTGGAAGAAGCTCATAAACTTATGAAGTCTGTCAAGGATAAAAATCTAAAGGCAAATGAAGTAATATTTACAGCTTTGATTTATGGGTATTGCCAAGTTGGGAAGATTGGTGATGCAGTCTCTTTGTTTCAAGGAGTAATCGCTGAGGAATGTTTACCAAACTTCATCACTTTCAATGTCTTGATAGATAGCTTGTGTAAGGAGAAAAAAGTTCGTGAGGCCTTGGTCTTTGTTAATAAAATGTTAAAGATGAATTTGAAGCCCACAACTGAGACATATACAAGTCTGATTGTGCAAATGTTGAAAGATGGTGACTTCAATTATGCTAATAGGGTTTTTAACACAATGATATCCTCTGGATGTCAGCCTGATGTATATACATATACAACGTTTGTGCATGCATTTTGTAAGCAAGGAAAGGTAAATGAAGCTGAGAACATGATGGCTAAGATGAAGGCAGATGGAATCATTCCTGATTCATTGACTTACACATTATTAATTGATGCATATGGGCGCTTGCAATTGATTGATTGTGCTTTTGGTGTTCTTAAGAGAATGTTTGATGATCGTTGTGAGCCTTCTCATCATACATATGCCTTTTTGTTGAAGCATCTGGCAAAGGAAAAGCAAATGACGAAAGATGGTTTCTTTGAACAAAGTGCACTTTCTTCAGGTGCTAGCTCAATTGATATAGCTATTTTATGGAAGGTAACTGATTTTGATATCATATCTCTACTGTTTGAGAAGATGGTTGAACATGGTTGTTCACCTAATATTAACACCTACAGCAAGCTAATTATAGGACTTTGCAAGGTAGGGCACTTGGATTTAGCCATGAGGTTGTTAAGTCTTTTACAAGAAGGTGGAATGTTTCCCTCTGAAGATATTCATAATTCTCTTCTTAGTTGTTGCTGTGAGTTGAAAATGTATGAGGATGCAATGAGAATAGTAGATGACATGGTTGAGGCTGGCCATTTGGCACATCTGGATTCCTGCAAGGAGCTTATTTGCGGGCTATGTGATGAAGGAAACAAAGAGAAGGTTGAAGCTGTATTCTATACTTTGCTCCATTGTGAGTATAATCATGATGAAGTGGCTTGGAAAGTTCTTATAGATGGATTATTAGATAGGGGCTATTTTGACGAATGTTTCAAACTTTTAACTCTTTTGGAGAAGAAAGGGTGCCAATTGCATCCTCAGACATACACGCTTTTGATAGAGAAACTTGATAGGAATGCATGAGATGATTATTGGTGGTATTGTTTTATAGCGGTCCTTTGCCAATATTTTGCACATCAGCTGGGCTTGTAAAGAATATTTGCCAGGATCTTTGGCATTTATTCTTAGAATGGGTACACGTTCAACACTGAAAATCTGAGCTTGCTGTGAATGGAGGAGAAGGTTCAGGAAATATGCAAACATAAGCTTTTTTGTAGCCATTTGCATCTGTAATCTAACAGAGAACAATTTGAAGATTAGAAGGCAAGTTACTTTGGCTTACTTGAAGTTTATCAGGTTAACTGTCTTATGTTACCTGCATATTTTAAAATGTTCTCGCTAAAAATCCCAAAACAGAAGCACAATTTTCTGCATTCTGTTTGAAGTCTGCATGCTAGTTACTTTGCCTTGAAATTTATCAAGTCAACTGTCTTATGTTACCTGCATCTTTTCAAATGTTCTCCTCATTAAAAATCCTGAAAAAGAAACCGAATTTGTTGGATTCTGTTCCCTGAGCTACTGCAAACTCGTGCACTCTCTTGACCTAAGAGATCTTATGAGATGAAATTTTGTCTTTGATGGGTGCTCAACTGGACGGGAAACCTTGATGCTTTTGTCTGTCGTGTATGGTTATGGAGTTTATTAGTGTTTGACTCAGGCATTTCATATGCCCAATGGAAGTGTGAAACATTTACATGAACATCTTACTTTGGCGCTTGCACTGAAATTGTTCAGCATAGTGTTTAGCATTAATGAAAGTGTATTCATGCAGGAAATACATAAAACAAAATGAACAAAACGAGAGTTTTTTTTCTGATTAGGTATATGCTGATAGATAATCACTGGAATTCCTTGTGTGTGTCTATTTGAGAAGTTCTTGACATTCCTTTCTTATATTTGTTCTGTTAATGCAGAAAGGAAATGAATTATTCTTCAGAGGACAGGTCAAATGGGAAGCACTTATGGATGAACTCTTGTGGATTGGCTTGTCTAAAGCCTAAGAGGTTATTCTTCCATGACAATCTAACACATTTCTCTTATTCTTTTCTCTCTATAGTTTGGTGAGATTCTAAAGTGACATGCACTTGCAAAAAGATATCAGGCTCTCTGTTTAAATTTCATTACATGCACAGGTTTCATTAATAGAATATCTGAACTAAGATGAAAACTTCTTTTAGTGCTCATCAAGTTGCTGAGGAGCTGATATAAATTATGAAGTCATTCTGTTTTTAATCTGTGTCATTGTAGATCATGAACCCGACAAAGCTATCTTTGTTTTCAATCATATTTATTTTTATAGGAATTTCTTTGTAGATTGATTTGGTAACTGGCATTAGAAAACTTGATTGTTAAGTATTGATGTAACTAGTCTAATGGGTTAGTTATGCCATTAATTTTTTTCCTACTTAAAATTCACTGCAAGTTGACTAGTTGGTTTACCAAGCCTAGCATTATATTTAAATTATATTTAAATGGTTATGAAAGCCGAATATGTTGGAGTGGGAGAATTATGGGATTATCTAGATTTTATTGACTTCCAGTTGTAAATGAAGCAAATTCTTGATGGATTTAATTGATGGATGGAAGTTACTGCACAGAATATGTTTTCTTTTCGTACAATTTATGTTTTTATGATTTTTGTTGGCTTCTACCGGTAAACTTTAGAGCTGCAAACATGATGATAGGCAGGTTACTTATGCTGGCTCTGTTCAGGATGCTCTGCTGGAGGATTGATAACTATTATACATTGTGATGACTTCCGAGAACTTCTTCCAAGGGAAGCAACTGTTAAGTGTCTAGTTGGTGCAGGCTTCTTCCCTGATGAGTATGCGTCGTTCACATATTGTGTTTTCCGACAATAACCTTTTCTGATATATATTGAATCTAAAGTTGCCAAAAATATTTTCCTCATTTTGCGATGTATTTCAAGGTCAACAGTTCTATAGGACTTGAATTTGTAACTAGAAGATTTAAATTGTACCGAGCTATAACTGGGGTTTGATGTCCCTTTTAAGCGGATGCACTGCTGCTTTGCACCTGCATGTTTTATGTTTCTCCTTTTTTTATTCTTCATGCTGACAAGTGAAATAAAAAGTTGGTCTTTTTTCACTTTAAATTTCAGGAAGGATATCCTTGGCAATAAATCCGTGATATCCTTTTATCATGATGTTGTCCAGCTTCAGGTAACGGTTAAATATTATTGTCACGTTGTCTATTAAACACAAAACCATGAACACTAACATGGACGCTCTTAATATTATTTGAAGGACTGTGCCATTTTTGGCACCGATGTCCAATTTGTGTCAAAAGCAGACATGGGACTTCGTTTTTTTCGTTGTGTGATCTGATTTATTTTTGTTTTAATTTGAAGCCCAATAAAATATTTTCCTTACTAATGTCTCTTCATGTTACCTGTCTTATCAGAGTGTTGTGAAGAGCTTGCCAGGAGATCGCAGTACCAGTATGGAACCAGCTGGGATGTGTAAATGCCCCCTAATTTTATATTTTACCCTATCACAACCATATGATAGGAAGTCGGTATATCCAGACGCAACATATCTAGTACCAGATGGATCAGATCCTCAAGGCCACCGGAGAAGATGCGGATTGAGCATTTACAATTGTGAAGCTGATCTGAAGGCTACCTGATAGTTTCAAGTTTATGTTTATGTTATGGTGGTCATTTAAATAAGTTCGGTCTTTTGTCTATTTTTAGTGATTACGTTTTCTTCCCTTGAAACTGAAGTTAAGAGACTCTATATATGAAATGTCATCATCTAGCCAGTTTGGCATTCTAGTAAGAAAATACGATTCATTTTGTATGTTGATGCTTAATGTCAAGTTACAAGCTCTTTGCTTAGAGAAGGATGTGAAATTGAGATGTTTATGGATTTTGGGATTGTTGTTTCCTTTTGTACATTTCTATCACTTTCTTTAGTGTTTTTCTGTATGTTTCAGTCCATACCGTGTGCATCGAGAATGGAGCTCTTGGAGAAACACAGCTTTGGGAAACTACGGCCTATATTCTGTTTTCCAATTAGTCTGACTCCTAACTTGTCCTTTTGCCTTTATTTTGTCTTCCAAATAATTTGACTTTCAACTTGCCTTTTTGGCCTGTATGGGAACAGATATTTGCTGAAGCTGTTGCTGATTGTTTTTTTTCTTTTTGATTGCTCACAAATATCTTTCTTTTGGAGACAATCTTATTCGAGATATGGTTGGACATTAAATGTGGGCACATTTCGTAGTAGGGTTGTTAACTAGTTTTTTGACAGAGCAATGGTGAAGCAAATTGACTGCCCTTATCCATGCAATCGCACTTGCCATAATATGGATTTCACTGCAGAATACTAAAACATAGTACCTCGGTTTTCATTTGGCTACTCTATCTTGGATTGGCTATCCTGAAGTTCACGGAAATTTTTGCTCCCATTTCCTGCTCTCAGAATGAATGATCTTGGTCCTTATATTGCAACGGAGTTAGAGAAGATGATGTGGACAGTTTATGCTATTTAAGTGAGTGAAATGGAATCACCTCTACTCTTATTTGATGAAAGAAACACCTCTACGCTTATGTGCAGCTTCAAGTTTCTAATTTTACCAGATCAAAATTTCTTCTGCGATCAATGATGGCAGCAAGGAAACTTTAAAACCCTGTAAGAATCACCATAATCTCGCTCCAGGAGATCATCATGGGGAATGGCTTATTGCACCGTTATCTTCAATTCTTTTGTTTATGACAATTCTATTTCTGTCTATGCATTAATGTCTAAAATTGTGGTTTTTCCTTTTTCTTTGTTTCCTAAATATCTTAAAATTTATATCAAGATTCAAAGGTATAAACAATTCTTCCTATTACTTTTTCTGAAACATTAGTAAAAAGATGTATGAAAACATGGGGCTTTTCATGATTGAGACAATACATAGCACAAAAGTCCAAAGTAGAAAAGAAACAAGATAATTATAAATAGGGCTGGTAATATAGGTTAAATATGCAGGTCAAACTTACCAACACACCAACATTAGGCTTGCAACCCGCTATAGGTAACGTGGGCTACCCACATTTTTTTTTAAAATTTTTCATAAAATTTTTAATTATTATAATTATATGATCATATATTATATTCTATCTAAAAAATTTAAAAAATATCTATATAATTTATTTGATGCTTGCAATCAAATATTTTAAGAAAAAACAAAAATTTCATTATATTTTTTTTGAATATTGTATAATGAAAAAATAATTATTTGAAAAAAAGTAAATAATTGTTGGCGGGGCCAACCCACCAACCTACTTTGGCAGCGGCAGGTTAGGATTGGCTGAAAAGCTAACCCGCTTTCAAACAAATCTTTTCAATCCAATCCATATGGGTTCAATTTACGAGTTGGCTTATATCACCACTTCTAACTATAAGCATCCATTAAAAAAGGTGGGAAGTGACGCTGCTATTGACCATTGAGGTCAAGATGTGGGTGCCCCTTAGAGTATTGAAAGAGGCTCTGAAAACGCAAATCAGACGCCACAGGCTTGGCAATGAGGCTGAGGAAAAGAGGAAAGAGTAGTGAAGCAGAAATTTCACTCATTTATAAAATAATCAGAGCCCTTGATTGGCGAACCGTTGGAGATAATCACGAAGAGATATCCTTATCCCTTTGAAGACAAAAGAAGAGGAATACGTTTTAGTTACAGTTTATTTTTATATGATCTGCAATATATTTTTATGTTTTCTTTTTCTATTATCTTACCTAGAGCTCAAAGGTTAAAGCTTATCGGTCAATTCACAATTTTTTCCCAATCAGTCACGTGTCATCAATTTTAGAATGAACATTTGAAAGAGAAATTATATTGCACCAGGATAATTTGAAAAGAGCGCTATTTCCCCCTTTTCTTTTCTTAATGAAACATACTGTGAAGGAGTTCCTTTCTTGAAGGAGTGTAGAGCCATGCTTCCAATTTAGAGAAGCACGGAAGCATTAAAGACCAAAAGAGTGCACTGAGTTGGATCCTTTTTTCTAAAGAAATTTCTGAATTGGCTTACCATGTAAGCATATGAGACAATGACAATAAAAGGAATAATTTCTCTTTTCCTTATACTTTTCTAATCCTATTTATAGGGCATTAAGAGAAATTTTTTATATGGATGTATACACTTTGTTTACATAAGGTATAATGTATATTAAATAAAAATAAAAATTAGAAATTTATTGAATTTTAAATGAGAGTTAATAAATTTTAAAGTTTTTTTTTATCTGTATGAAATATGTTGGAAATAACTTATAAATAAGATCAAAAGAGTACAATACGGTCATCTATCCTTCTGCATGAATGTACGGTTGTCGAGAAATGAGGAGAGAATTACTAGACTGTTTGGTATGATCAGTATTGGAGTTGAAAGCCAAGGAATTAAAAGATATAGCACCCAACACCTCTGAGTAACTGATGAAGGAGAAAAGACTTGTCTTTGATGAAGATCTATGTTAAGTTTATACTAAATCATATTAATGAGGATGACAATGCCATGCAAGACATGAAGATTGTTGTCATCTCTGAGCTGCAAAAGAATTAATTTAAGCCAATTCTTTAAATCATCAAAGTTCATAACTGGGAGTTTAATGGAGAAACAGCCAAACCATCTCTAACCATGTATGAGCCCAAAATTATTACCCTGCCAGAGAAGTCGATCTGGTATACCTATAATAGAAGGAGGAGACTTGATGATATTATTTGCTATCGCTTGGGAATAACGATTGCAATTCAAAAGAGAGTTCCATTGTGCTAGATTCCAAGAAAAAGAGTTATGCATTATAAGATCTGCAACGCACTGAGAAATGACCAATGCGCACAGGTCTCGATGGGCGCCGCAAAGGGCGGTTGAGTGGAATAGAAAGACTAGTCCCAACCCTCCATTTTAGGTACCTAATGATAAGTTATGCATTATCATTAAAACCTTTCCAGATCCAAAATGAATTGTAGGCCTTCTTTACTAAATTGGCAAGGGAGAAATCAGAATATTTGCATTTCAAAGTCATAGCCAAAGAGATGGTGAAGATTAGAATAGATTCAGAGAGAAGGAGGTAGAGAGATTAAAGTATCTTATCAATATCTTTCTAAGGAAGAGCAGAATTCCATGTTTAAGGTATTTCGCACTAGGATCTAGTCACATGTGAAAATAAATTAGTCCAGCTAAATAGGTCCAAGGCTTGAGCATAAACTATATATAAATCTTTTTTTAAAGGCTCGAGTCTAAGTCTTCAAGCCTGCCTAAAAGCCTCTCCTTTTATAAGCATATATAACCCTTCAAACAGATTTAACAACTGTGCGATAGTAGTTGACAATGCAAGCAAGAATAACAAAGATCAATTTCAAAATCAATCGATCGTCACAAATAGCCTGAAAGAAAGTATGGGCCCTCATGCTATGTGTCTCGTTGTCTCTTCCCAAGTCCAAACCCAACATACCATTTTCTTTCTTTAAAAAAAAAAAAAAGCCCTCATGCTACGCATTAAGTTTTGCTTGTTAAAAATTCAGAAATTCTAATTACATGGGAGGGTGTTTGGATTAAAATCAAATCATAGTTTTCGTTTTGATTTAGGAGAAAGCATTTTTTAAAGTGCTTTTGTTGAAATCCAAAGACCACCTAGTAGGAAGTCCCAAAAAAAAAACCCTAAAAGTGATTAAAGACAAAAACTCATAATTTGGTTGGGCTATTTTTATTGATGGGTTTTAGTTTGGTTTTGACGAGAAATTTTGTAAAAAGTACTTGTTTAAAAATTTCATTAATAAAAAAGGCCTAAATTTGAGTTATCAATATGAAAATCATTTACTGAAATTTAAATTTAGGTTCTTTCCAACAATAAAATTTTTAAGCAGGCCCTTTTAAGAAGGAATTGGCTTCTCTCCCCTATCCTTCCAATCCTCCTCCCCTCTACTACCTTTTTGTTCCTTCACAACCATTGATCGAAATTTCAATGGTCCAGGTTTAAGATTTTATAAAAAATAATGTTATTAAAAAAATAAACAAATAAATTTAAACCATCAAAATCTGGTCTGAATAATTTATAATTATAATTAAAAAATAAAAAAAGTTGCTTTATGTTAAATTTATTTATCTATTTTTTATAATAGAGGATGGGAAAGGTAGTGGAATAAATCTAAGCCTGGATATTTAGAAATACTCAAAAGTGTTTTTAAAAAATATTTTTATGCAAATTAAGACAAACTCTTCTGTATATTTAATTTGTATATTGTGAAATCACTTTTAAAATCATAGTTGGTTTTCATATGAAATAGGCTAGCTTTTATCTGACAACGCTTCAATAAGGCTAGCCTATTTCTATTTTCTACTACTGGCTTTGTGGCCCCTATGAGCTGGAACGGCTTCACAGTGTCACTCATTTGTTGGCGAAGAGTAAATATGGTGGTGACCTGAAGAAGACGATGGGTGGTCGCAATGGGTACTGCGCAAAGCTTACCACTACATTGTTGACGGAGTTCGTGATCGAGACAGCCAACGGGAAGCGGCAGAGGAAGTACAAAGCAGGTATTGTGCATTGTAATCAATCATTTTTAATTTTTAATTCCCATTGGTTGACAAAGTTCAAGTTTTTTTTTTTTAAAGGATCTGATTGGTTCAATGAAAAGAAAAGAAGGGAAGGGCTTTTAATGGAGGAAAAAGAAAAGGAAGAGAGTGGAGGGATTTTAATATTACCTTATTTGAATTTATAAAAGAATAGGGGAGAAGGAGTTTTAATGTTACATTGTTTGGTTCATAGGAAGAAAGGAGGAAAAATATTTTAACATGGACAAACTTTGGGAAAATGACACATAAAGAAACCTGAAATTATAAAATGGCAAAATGGGAAGCTAAGCAAATGTATTACCAGATAGGAAAGTGTTGCCTGATTTG